GCCGGCAAGACCAGGTCGTCAGCAACAATGCAGAGGTTGGTTGTACGGCTGATAGGATGTCAGTGGGCAACTGACACCAGTGAGCAGAGTGAGAAGCACAGCAGCAGTGGCTGAAGTAGCAGCTGAACAAGGGGCAGCAGCTCATCTTCAGATTATGCTGTGCTAATTTGGCCTGCTGCTCCTAAAAGGTTGCCAACCCCTGCCCTTTGTGGATAAGCTTAGTCTGCACTAGGAATGTCTCTGTGAATTGTCACTTAATACACTTAGAAAGCAACCCTGAACAAAGGCACTTTTAATGTGGACTAAGAGCATCCACTTACATTAGTGCAGAGCGGCTAATGCACTATAAATTCATATCTGAACCTAGTGCACACTAAACTACTTGTGTAGAAATGTCATTATACAAAACTCAATTTATAGAAGTAGAAAAGTCAGTTGGAAGTGTAGATTTATTTTAGTAATCTTTTCTAAGAGTAGAATTTAACAGAAAGTAACTCACTTGTTCTAAAATTGCTTGCATTGGTTCCCATGGGCAGAAAATTAACTAGGTGTAATAAACCTTAAAGGACAATAAAGGAAGACAATTAGTCCAACAATGATTGCAGGACTTCCATCTAAAAGTGGGCATCAGACTTAAAGCTGTCTATGTAAGGAAGTTACTGCACAGTAAGCTAAGGTGTGCCTTTACAGTGTACTTTGTGAATAAAATAAGCAAACTCAAACAAAGTCATAACAGGGTCCATAGAGGGAGCTATTGCAGAGTAGTTAATGTGCTGTAAAATTATACACTAGTTGTCTGCACACTGACTTCCCAGTATAGGCAAACTCTTAGATGCCAATTCTACAGGAAAGAAGGTAAATTAATGATTTGTGCTCCAAGCACCAGCTTAATTCGCCTTCCTGGGAATTCAAGAGGGACCAGGGGAAACATACTCTTAGGATCCTGAGATTCAGAGACACCTGATTTTTCAGGACACCTTCAAATGCAAGGTTTGACACTGAACTATTTTCTTGGTAGAAGCTGTGCTGCCCAGGGACTAGAAGCCAGTTATACTAAGCACCAGAGCACAGCAGAGGCAAAGGAAATCCATTTCCCTTTTGTGAATCCCTGAGACTCAAGTGTATCTTGGGAGATGAACAGATTTAGGGGAAATAGAAGTATGTTTTTCTTCTGCCTACAGGGATACAGGTGGGAGAAATTACAGGAAACTTCAAATTGAAACACACAGATAGTATTCCTTTCAAAATAGGCTGTTCAACTTTTGTTTGTTCAGAAGTTGTGAACAACATTATGGCTAATCTAATTAAAAATTTGCTGTGTATTCAAGAAGAGTTAGAAACTTTACCTTCATCATTTTATGAACTCTTATTAATATTTTCTTAACTCCTATTGTATTGTTAGTTGCTAAAGTTAGCATATTTGGTGCATGCTTTGAGCCCACTAGGAAAGTAGTAGCAGTCCACAATATCACTGTGCTGAATAACACTTTCCTAGGCAAATAGTTATGAACTCCATTCCAGACTGTAGCAGGCAGATGGCTTTTACAGGCAGAACTGTACAACTAGAGGGTGCTGAAGGACCATATTTTGATAACATGACATGAGAAACTCTTCGTGACCTTTTAATACTTGGGAGAGAAAAACACAATAAAATGGACTAATTAAACAGATTATTACTTATTGGGGTAACTGAAGGATTCTGAAATAATAATATATTGTTAAGTTTGATATACTTCTGCTGTCAAAGTACAAGTTAATTACTATGTTAGCCTTCATAAAGATATTATTGGGAAATTTGTGTATTCAGAATGAGATGCTATCCTGTATTCCAGTCCTTTGGTTTTGTATAATCATGAAAATAAAGCATTTGCCATAATGATGCATATTCCTTTCCCATTGTCTTGCGTTGGTGGAGTTGAAAAGTACTATTGATTAAATGGTTTATGATAAACACAGAGGCCATCAAGTAAGCAGAAAAGTGAGACAGAACAGAGATTAATTTAACAATAAAATCTATAATTGAGATTATACAGATAAAATGTGGACATTAATTACAGATAAGTCATCTTATTAGAGTGCTAACAAGCAAATTATCCTTCAAAAGGCATATAATTTCCAACTCTGGGTAATTATTTGCTTGCCCTCCAGAAACTTAAGAAAAAAGGACAAGTATGAGAAAAATAATATATATAAATATATTGCTCTGAGTATATGTACAAAAGTTATCCCCCCCTTCCATTTTCTCTTACGATTCTTTTTCATTGACCCTTTAGGTTTATACTAGCAATTCCTAAAATATTCTCAATGGACAAAAAAATAAAAAATAAAAAAAAAATGGAACCTTGAAATGGACCCTTAAAAATGCTGACTTTTTTCCCCCCCAATCAAGGTTTTAAGTGCCAAAGTGTCCAGCAATATTTGGCTTTCCCTTTGAAGCTAAATTCTGGTTGCCTATGTAAACAGACCCTTGGAAACTACAGACAAGGGAGACAGAGGATAATTGAACATCCATATCCTTAATGACAGAACTTTTTAGACCTTTTATAGATTGTTGCTGCAAAAATTACAAATAATTCACTATATATATTGTGATTTGTAATTTAAGAGCAATCAATCAGAATGTTTGACAGAAGACCTAAGACTATCCAAAATAATTTAATTCTTGTGTGCTCAGACAGTGTATAGGTCTCAAATAGACACCGAGTGAATTTCCCATCAGAAGAGTAAAACTTTGATTTGAAACTGGAAGAGCTTGTGTGGGTGTGTGCGTGCAAGCAGCTATCACCACAGGCACATACTGTGAGTGCGTGTGCATGAAAGGCCAAATGAAGAATTTGTGACTTTTTTTTTTGCTCTGTCTGTGCAGTATCTAGGCTCCAGATTGAATTGAAATTTGGGACAAAAACTGCATTCCAAATTACAAGATGCCATGTGAGCTTTCTCCCATGGTCCAGACTGTCCCACAGGTTTCAGACAGGGCCCACATGAAAAAGACATTTGTCTCAACAAAGGTTATTTGACTTGTTTCTTCTTGAAAAGGGACTGCCATAGATTTAGTTTGAATATCCAGTTATTTTCCCCCTTCAAATTCCTGTTTTTATCTTGTACAGAAGATTGATCACAGATTAATTTTTGTATGGCACCCAGTAGTGGGAGCTGTCTCCATTTAATATTCTGACTAACAACCATACCCTAGTTATATAAAAGGAAATGTGTTTGTCTCAACCCAATGAAACAGTACTCTGATCTTACGAAAGTCCCTGTGTATTATGTGAAGACAGCTACCCTGGCTAGGGAGAGCAAATCTGGGAAATTCGCAGGGCTGGAAAACCTGGAGAGATGGGGAGCATATAAATATTCCAGCCTGTAGCTGCCTCCTCATCACTGTGGGCAACCTGGGGCCCGGGATCCCTGACAGAGGGTGGGAAGTGCTCTCATGTTTTCATTGAAGAGCCCATTATCTTCCACAAAGAAACCTGAACAGCTGTACACTCTTTTTGTGTTGGAAGAAGGGCATTCCTCCTGGCACAAATGTGACACCTGTCTATGGTCTCTGCTATCACCTCACAAAGGGCAGTGTCATAGTGGCCACAGAAATCCATGGGTACTGATCCTTACACTGCATATTTGACTATTATATTTTTATAATCCTAACCATGTCAAGTGACTGGGTCTAGGGAGCAAAGGGAGTCTCTTACCAGACCTCCAGTCTGTCACACCCTTATTACAGATAGGATTTTGTTTCCAAAAGGAAGCAGCAGTATAAATGGGCTGGTGAAGGCAGACATTACAGCTACCTCTTTGGCCTCCAGACAGGAAATCTTGACTTTTTTATGGGCTGCAGTCTCTTTGTCCTTCAAACAATTTTCCCCTTCATTATGACTCTTAGATCATATTTTTGGTCAGCTGTGCTAACATGCACAAGCTTGGCCAAATGCAAATGCAAACCTTGAGTATGAGTCAAGGTGAGAATCAACTATGGAAACAACTGGTTCATTTAAACTCAAGAGTTTTGAACTTCAGTGTCTGCAAACACAGACACACCAGATCAGATGGAAAATAAATTATGACTCTTCTATACCACAGGCTTGGAAAGGTTTCTTCAACTGAGCAAGAGAACAAGAACATGTGAAAATACACAGTGCACCCTGAAATTTTAGGCCCTATCCTGTGATATTTCTCCAAACCTCCTGTGGCCTACAGCCTGGAGACTAACTTGTTTATACATTTTTTTGTCATCATATAGAAACAGGAAAGACCCTACCTTACATTTCCTCTCTGTCTACAGGTTTTCTAACTTGTGCCTGTGGTGATGGCTGCCAAAATTTGGCCCAATATTTATTACCATCATAATTTCACATGTCTTTGAAGTATGCTAGCTTGAAGGATGCAGCATATTTTTTTTTCTAAATGAGCTGATTTTACAAAACTAGTCATTCTCTGTTCTTTATTTTTCCACATAGAAGAGATCAGCTTTATCAGTATTTCCTCCACTTACAAACTTTAAATAATATGAATTACAACTTAGCTTGTTCTTCAACAGTGCCATCTAAAATTATACAGGAACAAGATGTTTTTTGGGTTTTTTTCCCGAAAGTCATGAGAAGAGCTCTTAAATACTACATATATTATAATACTGATTTTAATAATACTCAACGTGCACATCAATTTCATTATCAGAAACACTTTAAATCTTTGTATGGTACTAATAACTGAAGAGAATTATCTGGCTTTATAATGAATGCATTGCCTTTCATATACTCCTAAAGCAGGATGTATGCTGTACAGTTATATACAATGATTGGGCAGAGCACAGACATTGCAGTGTCATGCTGTCATTCAAAGTTAAGATGCCATATTTTCAGTACAATCACATGGCATCTAAAATGCAATATATTGTTTTGCAAATGCAAATAATTTCACAGAGTGGCCTTCATGACTAGGAAAGGGAGTAATGAAATGGGATATATATTACACAAATGAAAAAAATAAAAGATTTATCATAAATATATAGACCAGTATATGACATTGAAGAACAGGAAGCAGAAAGGAAACAGTGCTCTTGCATAAAGATCAATTCGTTTTGCTGCTGATGGAATGACGGGTTTGGGAGGAGGAGGTTTCTTGTTGTTCTTGGCTTGAGATTTCCCAAGCCCATTGTTGACTTCAATGGGCTTTCCATAACAATCATAGTTTGATAATTCAAAATCCCTTGGCAAACTTCCAACGATGCTGAAATCATTGGATCTCAGATCAGATTTCGAAGTGCAAACTTTTTTGCATCTGGTCTCACCAACCTATGAAATAAAGAGTTTGGAAAATCATGGTCTACTCACCAGTATTCACAAACATAATGCAGCTGTTAGAGAAAACAGCAAACAAACCTATAAGAAATTACTTGTTAATGGGTATTCACTACATTAGTGTAATTTGCTGAATGGTTGCATTAAAAAGTACTTAAGGATGATCAGTCAATCATATAAACTAATCTAAACATTCATAATTGTATAATTTTGCATGTACAAGATGCCTCATGCTGTGGAAGTAGCTATAGTTAGATTGCTCCATTTTAAGGCTACAGAAAGAGAAAAAAATATTTTCCTCAATGGATTCAGAGCCGAAGAATTATGCCAAATGGATATTATTTAATACTTACATTATGCCCAGAAGCTCCAATCCAGAGTAACTCTAAACACTGTAGTACTTTATACAAAAGACCCTAGCAAGGTATTCTACATCAGACAATTAACAGATGTAACTTCTGTCTTAGATGGACCCCTGTAAATGTGGGACAGCATCTTCTTTGTATTAACGTTCCATGGTGTCTTTATAAAGACAGTTCACAGAAGTGCTATACCACTTTGCCAGGTCTGCTCACTAGAGGTTCGCACTTGAGGATTTCAGTTCCCTGAGGGACTGAATTCCTGTCTTTCTCCTAGCTCTGTCTGGTGCCCCACCATTCCTGGGAGTCATGTTATAGGGGAAGTATTACAGAGCCCTATGAAATGACCTGAGAAGCCTAAGGGTGTCAGTTCAAGGGCTGGTGTGAGCCTTTAGAACCAGCCCTGGGAGCTGCAGGAATTACAGTCTTGTTGTCCAGTTTATGGGTTTGTGTGCTGAGCTCCTCGTGGGTAGGTTATGAGTTTAAGTCTGGTTTGGCCCCAGAGCCTCAGCTAGGAAAGGTGGGCATGAGGACATTTTAAGGAAGTATGGGCTGGATGAATGGACTGTAAGAGGGATAGAAAACTGGCTAGAACATTGGGCTCAGAAAGTAGTAATCAGTGTCTGGTTGGCAGCTGGTGTCAAGTGGAGTGCCCCAGGGTCAGTCCTGGGGCCAGTTTTGTTCAATGTCTTCCTTCATCAGTGACCTGGAAGATGGCCTAGACTGCACCCTCAGTAAGTCTGCAGATGACACCAAGCTGGAGGGAGTAGCAGATATGCTGCAGGGTAGGGCTAGGATTCAGAGTGACCTAGACAAATTGGAGGATTGGGCCAAAAGAAATCTCATGAGGTTCAACAAGAAGTGCAAAGTCCTGCACTTAGGATGGAACAACCCTATGCACTGGTACAGGCTGGGGGCTGCCTGGCTGGGCAGCAGCTCTGCAGAAAAGGACCTGGAGGTTACAGTGGACAATGAGCTGAATATGAGCCAGCAGTGTGCCCTTTTTGCCAAGAAGGCTAACTGCATACTGGCAATTGGTAGGTGTGTTGCCAGTAGGTCAAGGGAAGTGACCTACTGTTGCCAGCAGGTCAAAGGTAGTGATAATTCCCCTCTATTCAGTACTGGGGAGGCCACACCTGGAGCACTGTGTTCAGTTTTGGGCCCCCCACTACAGGAAGGATGTGGACAAATTGGAGAGAGTCTAGCAGAGGGCTACAAAAATAGTGAAGGGGCTGGGGGACATGACTTATGAGGAGAGGCTCAGGGAACTGGGCTTATTTAGTCCAGAGAAGAAGAGACTGAGACGGGACTTAATAGCAGCCTTCAACTACCTGACGGGGGGGTTCAAAAGAGGATAGAGCTAGACTGTTCTCAGTTGTGGCAGATGACAGAACAAGGAGCAACGGTCTCAAGTCAAAGCAAGGGAAGTTTAGGTTAGATATCAGAAAGAATTTTTTCACTAGGGGGGTAGTAAAGCATTGGAACAGATTACCCAGAGACGTTGTGGAATCTCCATCCTTGCAGGTTTTTAAAACCCGATTAGACAAAGGTTTGGCTGGGATGATTTACTTGGGGATGGTCCTGCTTTAAGCAGGGGTTTGGACTAGATGCCTCCTGTGGTCCCTTCCAACCCTAATTTTCTATGATTCTATCTCTGTTACAGACTTGTCCATTCTGCTATCCCATAAAAGGACAAGGAATGACACTTAACCATCATTCATGGACTAAAGTTTTTAAATAAATGGTTACCGGGGGGTTTCCTTAGGCTGTGAAGAGCTCATATTTTAGATAAAACAAATATCTGAAAGGGTGAAACTGTAGGCAATTTGAAGGAATTTGGAGACCACTGGTAGGCAGCAATTTGAGCTGGACAGCTAATTGTACTTTGATCTCGCCCAATGATTCATTTAATTTTAGAATATTTGGAGAAAAAAAGAAGAGAGGTAATTTCAGCATTGGATTTTCTTGATCTGTTGACAAATATTTTGAAAGCTGACACCAGATAAAAATAAACCTGGGTTTAGGAAACACATGGTAGATACTAACTATTTGAGTGAGTTGGGTGGTTCCCACCCTCTCCCCTTTTTATTGATCAGGGTGATTTCAGGGGGGGATGGGAGGAGAGGGAAGAAGTCAGCCCATGTTCCACTTCACCATAAGTTTCATACATTTCCATATGTGTCAAACTTTGATTTTTGATAAAACCAGAGCATTTGAAGATAGAATCTGCCAAAGCTGATATGCAAAATACACAACAAAATTAAGGGTTATTTTTTAAACTTCGGACATTTTACTTCCATAATTATAAAGCTTTTTTTCCCCTCTCTCTTTTTTTATCCTGCAATTGGTTTCTGAACCGTCTGGAACAATCCTCTACTCAGAACAGTCAGGTCAAACTCCCAACCTAAGATCGTGCTTGATTTATTTATGAAGAGGACTGTATGTTGTGGTTTCCTCCAATAGCAGAGTCCTTCATCCAGGAGGTCTCTCCCAGGCCTATAACCTATAAAGCTATCTAATTGCATCTGCATTGGGAGATGTAGATGGCAAGAGTAATGTGCATGAGTGTAACTTAGCTTGTAATTTAAATATTTTAGTTAAAAATATCTGGGATATATTTCTCTTCAATAATTATTAATCTATTTACACTGTACAGTGTCTGACTCCTATTCTACATAATCAAAGACACTCAGGTTGGATTAACAGATATACCACAGATTCCTGCAAATGTCAGAACAAACCATGTACTTAGGGGGCTGGCAACCAAGCTTTCTTATGCATCTGCACAGTACCTTGCACACACAGGTGCCACCAGAAAATAATATAAAAAATATAAAAACAATACCAGTGGAGCTGTCATGATTAAAAATTAACGTCACATTGAGCACATTTTCAAAACAATTCTCATGCAATCAAAGGAGTTGGGAGAAATTATTAAGTCATCTAGTCCCAACAAATGTACAATTGTTCACCACAATAACAGAGCATAACTTTGTCTTGTCTAGTTCTAACTACTCTATCACCTTACAGGGCTTAGACTACTCTGCTTTGGAGACCTTTCCATACTGTAACAAATCTCATTTTTAGGAAGTTTTTGTCTGATACTCAGGCTAAAGTTTCCCCTTGTGATTTTATTATATTATTCCTAATTATACTTCTTGTACCACTCTTAATTATTGCTCTTTCCCAGGGGGGTTTGCACTGTTTCCATTTTCTCATTTAGCTATTGCTTAGCCAAGCTTTTAATCCTTTCTCATAAATCTTTCCACTTCCAAGTATTTTTGTTGCTCTTCTCTAAATTCCCTCCAGTATACCTACAATTTTCTGGTAATGAGGTGACTTCGTACATTTTAAAAATTGCTCATTTGCCTTTTGTCCCTCTCCCTTCCCCCATACCTGGAAAATCTGGGATTCACATAATACTCCTGTAAACTTATCAAAAGACAGAGGAAATTTTCTTTAGAAAGTCAGCTGCTATGAAGGGCTTGGTATTTAGTCTGTTACACTGAAGATTTACAAAGAAAGTAAGTTTTAAAGATTTAAAGCTCTATGTTGGGTCAGAGTTGACCATAGTTTTATGTAGAGTTTAGATTATGGTTTGTATGGGATGGTTTGGATAGGGATGATCCTGCCCCAGGCAGGCGGTTGGACTAGACCTCTGGCGCTCCCTTCCAGCCCTTCTTTTCTATGACTCTGATTCTATGACAACTTCCAGTCCTTGCACATCAATGCCTTCTTACTAAAATGTTTATACCTATTTTATATTTTCTCCACCCTGGATCTTAATAAACCACACATAGGGCCTAAACCCAGAACTCAGAAGTTTCTAAGAAAAGACTTATATTTTTTTAAAGCCAGAATGAACCACTGTAATCATCTAGTCTGACCTCCTGTATTATACAAGCCATGCTACTTCCACACTGCTTCAGGTCCACCAGCTGTAGTTAAATTAGAGCATATATTTTAGTCAAACATTAAAGCTTGCTTTAAAAGTCTCTACTGATGGAAAATTCTCCACAACCATTCTCCATTATTGGTAAGTGAGTCCAATAATTGTTCATCCTGGCTGTTAAAAATTTGCACCTTATTTCCATTCTGGATTTGATAAGCTTCAATTTGCTGTTAAAGTTCATTATACCTTTAGCTGCTAATGAAAGTGCCTTCTGTTATCAAATTTCTATTCCCTATATAGGTACTTACAGACTGAGATGAAATCACACCTAAACCATCTTGAGTTCCCAGTTTCTTAACTTCTAGCTACTTAACCAAAATGCTGCATGGAATCACATCAAATGATTTTCAGAAATCAGTATACTACCACAACACTATTATCTTTATGAAACTTACCATGTCTTAGAAATCTATTGAAAAAAAATGAGAGGATATCTACTTTACATAAACCCATGTTCATTGGCTTTAATTTTATTATCCTTCTTTTTAATTAACTAAGTCCCATATCAGCCATTCTTTTATTTTGCTCAGATTGATGTCAGGCCTGTAATTACTAAGGTTATCCTATTTACCTTGTTTAAAAAACTGGCACATTAGCTTTCTTGAAGTCATCTGGAACTTCCCCAATTTTCCAAGACTTATTAAATATCAACATTAATGGTTCACAGGGCTCCTGGGCCAGCTCTTTTAAAAATCCTGGATACAACCTAACCAGACATGATGATTTAGAACTGTTTGACTTTAATAGTTTATTAGCTAGTCTAGGAATGGAAAGCATTTCATCATACAATAAGAACACAGGATCTGGATATTTCCCCAAATACAAAATGGAAATATTTATTGACCAGTTCTGCCCCATTTATGGCAATTCTACCATTTCCCTCTAGTAACAAACTTGATACCATTAATACCTATTGATAGGGTCTCTTTTGGCCTTTGCATTGTTCTTAAATATGTAAGCCTTTTGTTCTCAATGTTACTTTTCTATAATTAATAGCATCGATATTATAATCATTTCTGTCAATTTTTTATTGCTACTTAATCTTCCTAAGTCAGTCCCCGGTTGTTCAGGCTGTTGGATTTTTTTGTTTCTTTTGTTCCCTTTTCCCCCAATCCACTGAAAGTTTATTTCTTGATTATGCCTTTTTGTGCATCTATTAAGATGTTCTAAAACAGGTCCCAATGATCATTCACATTTTTTCATTCATTTAAAATTCTCCTTTCAGCTGATTTTGTTTACAATTGTTTTCAGATTTGTGAAATTTGCCTTTGTACAGTATTGAATATATATTTTGCAGGGACTTTCACTCTATTTGCACATAACAAATGTAACCAAGTTACAGTTGCTTTTATCTAAGCAACCACTTTTAATTCTGTACTCAGTTCCTATTTCTCTATTGTCTCTCAAGATGATTAAAATCTGCCATGCTCGATACAATGGTTTTTGACATAGAACATTTGATAAGTATAATTTCTAGCAATCTCAAGGACATTTTAGTACACACAGCATGAGACCTCCAACATATATTTTACAGACTAAAGTTCCCCATGGTAACAGTGTTTCTTCCTCCCACACAGTATGTGACTGTACCAAGAGTAATGTCACAAAAGATACAATGTGAAGAACCCAAGGCACTCGTGGCCTGCTTTGATTTGAAGTCAGTAAAAGGTACAGCTAACCAGCTCTGTACTTACAGATCACAAATCAAAAATGTGCACCTGATGATTCTGTAAGACAAATCTCTGAGCCAGAAGCACACACATAGGTGAAGGGAAAAAACCACTACAGAAGGATCAGTTGAATAATCACCAAAGGTCTGATATGTTATAAATCAGTACAGATGAAAATAATAGGTATCAGATGCCAGGCACTGTTCTGACATGATAACCAAGAAATATGAGTATTTCTCTTTAAGAATGACTGGTTTTGGGCTGTTATCATCACCTTCAGAGAGCCATTCATCATCTGCCATAGTCATTATTCTTTTACCAAATGTTCAGCTCAGTCATCAGCATATTATACATGTGGGACGGCTTCTATGGATGGGCATGATGAAAATGTGACTTTTCAAATCCAGGAGGATTTACTCAAGTTAACAATGTAATCTCACTCTAAAATCACACCACCAGTGGCAGCAAGGGAAAACTGATTCGTCTCACAAACAGTTCTGCTTTTCCCTATTTTTAAAATCTTATAATGCTAGTTGGGAGGGTGGCAGTGGGGGGAACCTTCCTATGTTGGCTCTCAGCAAAATGTTCAAATTCATGCAGTTACCACAATGCTGCATCTAAGATTACCACTGTTTTTCCTTACACTTAGAACAAGAGAGACTTGCTGTTGAAGTAAAGGTGGAAAAGAATATTTTTATAATGACTTCTTCTTTATAGATTTAGGTCTTAGAACTTTCTGTACTGGCAAAAACTATATTAGTGTTTATGTTGAATCTTTTCATGTTTTCAAGCATGTGGGTGCCCATGGTAACTTTTATTAAATCTATTAGCTTTATTTAACATCACTGATTACAAGGCATTGTTAATTTACCTGTGAACCCAAACATCTGAAGTGTATCCATGCAATGGGATGCTGGTACAGCTGATAGAGTTCTCCTGTCTCTGGAATTAGGTAGAGCTCTCCTGTCTTTGGAGGGTGATGTTAGTGAAGTTCTCCTGTCTTTGGAATTAGCTTTCTTCCTCCACTATAAGCACTGAGCAGCATCAACCTATTTGACTTTGGAGCTTGCTGCATAGCCTATTCCTGTACTCAAGATTCTGAGGCTAGAAAGGCATGACACAGACTGCTATTTCTGTTTGGGACAGAGTATTGTTGGGGTCTGAATATTCAAAGATTTCAAGGCTGCCAAGAACCTCAGAGAAAGGCTGTTTTATTTAATATGAATAGAATAATCACATGCATAAAAATGAGAATGGTCTTTGCTCATCTAATTACTATGTAGCTACATATCTACATTTAAGGGCAAATGGTTTAGCATACTTTGGCTGGTTCCTATTATTGTGCTCTTCTGCACACAGAGGATGATAGTGACTCAAGCACTTTATATTAAGATTAAAGATGCCAGTGATAATGTAATGAACCACTAGAGGGAGCGAGAGGGTAATTTGTTGCCAGGTAGATTACAGTAGGAGTTTTAGGCTGTCTATTAAGTGTTAGTGTGAGCTGTGAGAAGCTAATACTTTTCCTAGATATGGCATGTGGTGCTGAATTCTGAATTTTTCTAGACATATGCATTTAAGTGGAATAAATTCATTTCCCTCTTCAAATGGGATAATAAGTTAATTTTATATTATTTTAAAACATAGGCCATAATATCTGCCATCTTTCATGATTTCTCTCTGCTCAGCCTTTCTTCATTTCTCAGCCACATAACATTGTGGATTTATCTCAGAGTCTATTAACCATCTAAAAACAAGGAGGTGTTTCATTTGGGCATAAAGAGTATTTACACATGCATTTATTATGACCTCCTCTCTCTACCATTAGCATGCATTTGACTTTCCAGTCCCCTAGAATGAGCTGATAGAACTCCTCTGTATCTTCCTAGCCAAGAGTCATGTGGCTCAGTCACCTGGCCCCTGTTCCTAGCTCACTATGGTGCTCTTTCCAGGAATTATCAGTCCTCAAACATTTATTTTTAAAGGGTCTGGGTCATAAATCCAGTTCCAACACCTTGGATCAAAGAACACTGGACCTAGGGCATTATTAACCACAAAGAAGACCATCTGACAATAAGTGAAGATTCTTGTATAATCCAGAGGTACTTCTAAAATTTCTTAGCAAAAGCAGTGTTTTATGTGCACCTGTTTTCTGACCAGCAGAAGCCACAAGTGTAGCACTCTATCCAGAACATAGTATTCCCACCAATAGAATAAAGGTGTTTGTGGGTAAGAGTCCTTCAGAGCCTAGGGGATACACTAGTAAAACAGTCCAGTCTCAACCTTGTAATGCCATTCTCAGGTTTCCATGATGCAGGATATGTAGAACAGGTTTCTGCAGATTTTGGAGGGGAAAGCCAAGACTGGAGCATAAAACTTCAGGCCACCAATTATTCTATTGTGGGAATGGGAAGGGTTTCTATGAAATGTCTTACATTTATTTAGATCCCTAAAACACGTGGTTATATATATTATTTTAAGAAACCTGCGTTGAAAACTGATAGTTTAGCACAAATGACAAAATGACCATTAAAAAAAATCCTAATTGTGTTACTCCATGTATTTGGGGCAATTAAAAGGACTGTGTGTAGCTAGTAAGGTGTATGTAACCAAAGGAATAAATTATTAGGATAGATCGTTACATACCTCTGTTTTTGCTGGCAGCACTGTTAAATTATTGTCAAGTTATAATCTTGTCACAGATATAACTTTGTACATATTTGGACAAAAATAATAAAAAGAACCTACTGTTCTGCTGGAATGCTGCATCTAAATTATAGCTTTGTAGGAAAAGGTTGCATTTGGGGTGTGGAAACATGCTTCAGAACAAGGGTATAATTCTTAGCTGTTTACAATTCAGTACAATAGAGAAGCAAAGTGTTGCTGTGCCACTTTCAACCTTTCCTCCAAGTCCAGGGCTGACTGAAGAAAGAGATGAATTAGTCCCAGGAGCAATTTAGGACAGTTACAAAGTTGCTGTAATTTAGGTCTGACAGAATTTGTTCACTTGAGTTTGTAGTACCAGGTAGAATATGGCGAAGTTTTAACCTCAGCAGGTTTCCTTCACTTCCTGGAGAATGCCAACTTACTAGGTCATCATACCCCAAAAACTGATCTTCTGATGTCTCCTCAAGGCAGCTTTAAAGTCATTTTGTATCATTCTGATACACAGCAGGGGCTCAGATCTGGCTTAATATCCTTATTTTGCATATCTAAATTGTTCAGTCATTGGATGTTGAGAGCTAAATTCATTTCTTATGTAACTCCATTAACATCAAAATAGTCTCTGCTGAAAAATACCAATTAAATATTATTTAGGGCTGGTGGGGGTTCACTTGTGGTGTCTATAACTCTTTGACCAAAAACAGATGATGTTACTGCAATAGGAAGCCAGCACCAATATCAAAAACTTTGGCACAAGCCAGTCCACATATGATCTTTAATCCTACTAGGAAACTGAATAGATTTCTTCATGAGCCCTGCAGCACAAGCAGAAGGGTAAGAAGCAATCATATTTCTCCTATATACAAATGCCTGGACTTCTGAATCTCTCGGAATAAATATTCTTTACATAATAGCTGTGTCACTCTGCATTTCAAGTAAAATAATGAAACTAGCCTAATTTGAGAACATTCTCAACAACCCTTACTAGAATCATTGTCTTCTGAATTAAACCCAATTTGACAGCTATTAATTAGACATCAAGATGCTGGCCATTGATTTACCTGGAACCCAGCAGATGGCATTATACTAGCACATTTGAAAAAAAAAACAGCAACAAAAAAGTCCTTTGAGCTTTTCAGCAAACAACAAGAAGCCAAGTCACTTGGGGCCAGTTGTTCAGAATGCTGTCCATAAATGACCATGGTATAACCAAGTTAACTGTCCTTGCTTTATCTAAGTTTAAGCATTATCCAGAATTAAAAATAATATATCTCTGAAATAACAATGATTACATACAGCCTGACTTGCTAACATAACTTTATAGCTCTTACCTGTAAAGTGCTGATGTGGACAGGAGTGCCTGTTCCATTCACTGTATTTTTTTTGGCTGCATTTCCACCTTTCCCATCTGCTTGCTCTGCCTTGGCAATTTTTGCTTTTTCAGCTTCAATTTTCTTTGGATTGTTCAACATTACTTGAACCACTGCATACTCAACCAGTGAAGCAAACCCGAACAGGAGGCAAACAATCAACCAAACATCTAAGGCCTTCACATAGGACACTTTGGGGAGTTCAGCCGCAAGAGTAGTACATTCGGATGCCAAGCTGAGCACCGAGAAGATACCTGCAAACAGTAAAAATAGATATTAACTAATTAAAACTTATCATTTGGTGCCCTTCCCCTGAAACATATATGCTATCAGGTTTTAACCGATGACTTTTCTTAACAGTGAATGGAATTTCATGAGTATATTATGCAAGAGATGACTGTTCACTAGATATATATATAATGCATAAACTAACATCTATATAACATTTATATTGCACTTAACATTCAAACACAATTTAATTAATATTAAATCTGAACATATGCTAGTATATTCATTTTCATAAATAAGCAAATAGACACAAATGTGCTGAATTCTTGATATGGGCACACACACATACACATGCAACAACTGGGGAATGGTTTTGCATAAGATATAACAAACATATCAGAACGAGGTGCATGTAGCTCTGGGAAGATGGAAGGATATGAAATAAATATGCTATTTTAACCTGGTGCATTCTTCCACATCCTTTGGACCAGACATCATGACTAGAATTCAGCCAGAGATGTCCTAGGAATCTATATTTTTCATAGCATAGAACATACTTAAAATCGAAAATACTTATTATGATCTGTTACTTAGTGTAACATGTCTCGATAACGAGAAAACATTACTTCTGATCCAGAGAAGAAGCCAGTGTATCCACAATTATCTGTGGAATGGACGGAACTGGGGTGATTGAGGGCTATATGGCCATTTATAAACTCATCATGAAAGACCCAATGATGTGGGAGGCCTCTTGTATGGCTCTAATGAGCACTGCTTTCCTAAAAGATTTCCAAAGCTGGGCAGTATCACGATGCTCATTTCACAAATGGCAAAATGTAAAAATCACCTAAAAAGAGGAGCTGCCTGCAGTGTTGGATATCTACATACAGCCATGTTTGGAAAAGGATAATTCTTTCACTGGTTGTCAAACAAGACACGTTCACTTTCATCTCCCATGTTCATAACTCCTGGGTTTAGTTTTATGAACACTAATGGTATAATTCTTTCTTTGGTTGCACCTGAGAAGCCTGGCTGAAGTTAATGAGGCTATATGAATGTAAATGAGTGCAAAATTTGGCCTTCAGCAGAACCATCTAATTATCTCCTTTAGCTTGATTGCATGTATTGTCCAATTTATGAAAAAGTATTGATAGTTCAAACATGAATACATCTTTTCTGATCCCTTATCCAGGACTAATGCTTGGAACATTTTAATGATCCTGAAAATATTTGCATTAGTCCATCACACTGTTTAAGTGTAACATCAGACTTTAATAGTATCACTCAGATTTTGATAAGATTGATAAGGCCAGTATATCAATAACTGTAAACACTTGATACTGCTGTTTCCTAACACTTTATTTAGTATTTTGGATGGCATTAATCTAACACTGGCAGCTTGTCAGATATTAGCTGCTAAAATGAAGAGGACTAAAGCATAATGATGACACCAATGGTATATAAAGTTCAAATATTCTAGATACATTATCCAGAAATAGGTAATATCATTATACTGTTACATAGTCAAGAACTTCTATTTTTCCAATAATATAATGCATTTCCTGACCTACTGAGTTGTGAGCTTGATATGCCTGGGCCAAGACTGAACATGAAAAATCCCTACATAATAAGAACCTTATCTTGAATCTCTACTTCCAATTTACTTTTCATTCTTTAGAAAATGTATTGCTTAATACACCCATGCATGTCTATTCAAAAGCCCTGAAAATCAACATCAATTCCAAACCTGAATCAACTAGCAGCCAAGGAGGCCACAACCACAGACTAATGAAAATCTCTTCGTAACTATGCATATTTTTCATCACTGTTGTAGAAAGTAATATTTGTTAGCCTATTATTAGTAGTAGTAGTAGCATTGTTGTTGTTGTATTATTAATACATATTTCTTGAAAACTTATTCAGCTTTGTATACTCACTGCCCAAAGTTACTTAAAATGTTGGAACTTACAAACTTGGACTTCAAGTTTGAATCTGACTTGCAAATCCCACTGAATGAAAAGTTTACAGTAGATCTGTCATCACTTTGTTCAATAGGGCAGTTGAGGTCACTGTGACCTGCTGCTAGTTCCCATTTATCTCTATGTCTGGGGTAGAAAGTTTAGTCTCAGAATGAGAGAAACTTAAAAAAAAATCACACAAGATTTCAAGAAAAAATATAAGCAGACAGAGAAAAAGAAATATTCCAGTAAGTATCCTTTCAGCCCAAAATCAAAAGTGGCATCACTTCAGAAAGCCTGAGAGCAGATTTGTAAGAGCACCTTTCTGAGTTGATGTATTTGATACCTACCTACACTAGTCGAAAGCCAAGTAGATCATAACTAGGGAGAAAAAAATAAACTCAAAGGTGATATATATAGATATAGATATATATAAAAATATAAAAATATGTCTAATATCACGCAGCAGACAGTAATGGAACAACTTATTTATAGACATTGATTCTTAATTCTTGCCAGTTAGTTTTTGCTTTATAGCCAGGAGCATAATGGCTATAACTTATGAGTAACTCATGAATATGAACTGTTCATATTCCTCTTTCAGTGTGCATTACCTAGCATTTGTCAAAATTATTTTGCCATCATGCTACTAATTTCTGTAGCTGTACAAAGCTACTCTGCAGTTCTTCATAGAATCATAGAAGTAGGGTCGGAAGGGATCTTGTAGATCTTCAAGTCCAACCCCCTGCCTGGGCAGGAGAGAAACTGGGCTCAAGTGATCCCAGCCATGTAGGCATCGAGCTGCTTCTTAAAGAACCCCAGAGTAGGAGCCAGCACCACTTCCTTTGGAAGTTGGTTCCAGATCCTAGCAGCCGTAACTGTGAAGTAGTTCCTACAGATGTCTAATCTGAACCTACTCTCCAACAACTTGTGGCTGTTATTCCTTGTTATCCCGGGAGGCGCTGGGGGAAACAAGGTCTCCCCCAAACCCTTCTGGTCCCCCCTAGAAGGCCCCCCCTCAGCCTTCTCTTGGGAAGGCTGAACAGGTTCAGGTCCCGTAGCCTCTCATTGTAGGGTCTGCCCTGCTGTACCCGGATCATGTGGGTGGCCCTCCTCTGAACCCTCTCAATGTTGTCCACATCCCTCTTGAAGTGGGGCACCCAGAACTGGACACAGTACTCCAGCTGTGGCCTGACCAGTGTCGTGTAGAGGGGGAGGATCACCTCCTTGGCCCTACTTGAGATGCACCTGTGGATGCACGATAGGGTCCGGTTAGCCCTGCCGACTGTGACCTCACATTGTCGGCCCATGTTCATCTTGGAGTCAATGACTCCAAGATCCCTTTCTGCCTCCGTGCTCTCAAGAAGGGAGTTTCACATCTTATAAGTGTATTGCTGGTTACTACTACCCAAGTGCAGCACCCTGCACTTGTTCATATTGAAACGCATCCTGTTTTTGTCAGCCCACCCCTGCAACTTATCCAGGTCTTTCTGCAGTCTTTCCCTCCCTACTAGCGTGCCCACCTCACCCCAGATTTTGGTATCATCAGCAAATTTGAACAGGTTGCTTTTCACCCCATCGTCCAAATCGCTGATAAAGAAATTGAACAGCGCAGGCCCAAGGACCGAGCCCTGGGGGACTCCGCTGCCCACTTCCCCCCAGGTCGAATATGACCCGTCCACCACCACCCTCTGAGTACGACCCTTCAGCCAATTAGTAATCCATCTGACCGTGTAGGCATTGATGCCACAGTCGCCTAGTTTTTTCTTCAGACATCTCTAATTCTAATATACCCTAAATCTTATGTAATCTGAACATTTTGTCCAGTCTCGCTGTCTTAATGGACACCAGACTGTTGTGTTGTAGAATCCCATGTGCTACTAAGGTTCCAGATCTGGGTAGTGACTAATTATTGACAAACCTGTAGGTCACTCAGGCAGACTCCCTGTATGCAAAGACCAATGACCTGACAGCTTTCTTGGGTAGTGGGACCCTGCAGTCTGGCTGTCTCTACATTTGGAACAAAGTCTTAGCCTAGCGATTTCCAAACCTGGGTGCCGCATATGATTCACAAGATAAACCCAAACACCTATATATGATTCACAAAGATAAATCCAAAGGCTGCATCCAGACGAGCCTGGATGTTTGGTTGCTCTGGGACAACTAGCAACAGTGCACCCTGTGCCACCGCTAGTTGTCCCCAGGGAATGCCTGTGCCATGTGCCCTCTAGTGCACAGCAGGTTACCTCCAGTAGGGGAGGGGAGGCTGGGGCCAGCACTTGGCTGGCCCCAGCAGCCTTACCTGCAATCCAGGGGGCCTCCTGAGGTTGCAGCAGTGGTGATCATGCTACTCAGACCCTGGCTGGCAGCTGGAGTGTGGCTCCAGTCAGCCAGGCTCTGGTTTTGAGCGGTGCATGCGGCACTCAGCTTTTTTTTTTTTTGCAGGTTTTTGGACCCCAGGATATCCAGGGGTCGCTCCTTCCCCCACCCCCCACACTGCTCCCTTGCAGTGCGGAGAACAGCTGAACGTGCAGTATGGGATACCGCAGAAGTGTCTCTGGTGCGCTCATCTGGACGTGGCCAAAGATTTCACATAGGAATCCACAGCAACAAAAACATTTTGATGTGGTGTGGTCTTTCTGAGTTCTTTCCTGTCTTATTTTCCATAGTCAAAGGAAGTGAAAGCTAAGAGCTGGCATTTTCCAAGGGGTGCCTTGAGTCTAAAAAAGCTGAGAACCACTGTCTTAGCCTCTCTGAGTCCCCAGTTGCTTAGAAACAGTTAACCTGCATCCTGGTTCTGGGCCCGCCACTTTCCCTAGTCATAGCCTTTGGAGACAACAAATGATAAAACAAGGAGGCACAGGTGTATGGAAGGAATTTCTTAAGCACTACGCATATACATATACACACATTTTACTCTTACAAAGTACAGAGGTTTCAGATCTTTGGAAAAACAATTCCTGAATGCAATTCCACTTAATCCACCTTTACCTGCATTCTATGGATTTGGTTCAAATCCTTAAGGGAGGCAAATTTTATTTTCCACACTTTCCACTCACTCCTTCTATGCCTTCTCTTCCTATTGATGAAACTTCTCTCCTCTGGCTTGGAGAAATGCCTTCTTTCTAAAAGTTTCTCTTCCCCCCTTACCTATGTATTCACTAAGGAAAAAAACAATCTTCCCCAAACCTCTTTTTCCAGATCACTAATTCATATATTAACCAACTTTTCATCATTGGCTTTCAAAGCATTTTATGTTTCTTATTCAATTGAACACGTCTGAAAGTCCCAGCCATAGAAATTAGTGTCCCAGTTACACTTATTTCTAGAAGTAATTCCAGTGTGTTACTACTTAGGGGTGAATCAAGAGTACCTTCTCCTCTTTGGAGGTCAGGAGCAAGCTGTTCCAAGAAGCAATTTCTTAAGATCTGGAGAAACTGTTCCCCAAGCCTTGTCCCCATGCAGATGGTAAAAGACAGCACCTATTAGTGCTGCTTTACTAGTTGTCTCTGATTTCTCAACATGAAACACTCAATATAATTTTCTTAATACAGACAACCATTACTATAACCTTATATCACAGAGTGCCTTCTGTGTTTGCTTGGGACCACTTCAGCCTTGTCTGTTCTCTAACAGGGCCCCCCAAAGCCAACCCAAGCTTGGTTTCTAGAGGAAGATGGAAACCTATGCTTCTTCCCAATTTGAAACTCTGGCATTTTGGTCCCTTACCCTCCCTGGTTCTCTGGGGCTCTGATTCAAAGAGTAAGCATCCAGTTCTGCTCCAGAGAGAGAGGCTTTGCCACCTTTGAGGAGACCCACTATAGCCCCCAGTCCCAGGCAGTACATAGGTGACAGTCTCTTCAGAAAACACATTTCCTGCAGCAAAGGCCACCCAGCCAGAGGTTCTTTGTCACCTCCAAAAGGGGTCAGCAATCCCTCCACTGCTAATCTAGCCTGCACAGCCCAAACCACCTGCAAGACTATTTCCCTTTTCCAACTCTACAGATCCCCAAAGCTCCTCTACTTCTCTCAGCCCTCCAGATTTTTCTGGCCAGGAGTTGCCAGGATGCTTTTTTCCATCCTACTCTCCCATTGTCATATTTATTTCTTCAGGATACCTCCTGGATATCCAGCATTTCACCTGTCTTGATACATCAACAAAGCCATTCAAGACTGTGTTGATGCTAACAGTCCATTTTGTCTCATTCTACACTTAGCCAGTCCTGGCAGTTAAGTTTTCATTCTCTGCACAGGCTAATGAAGTAAACCGAGTTACACAATATTATAACATTATGAACGCAGTTAACACAGAAATATCGCAATAAGACTCATTGTTGCATGCTCTGCTTGCTCTCAACCTAAAATAGACTAGGATTCCTAGCCAAACATTTATCAGTATTTTTAAGAGGGCAAGTGAAAAAGGAAAGGGAAAAGCATATGTCTCTTCTTAAATTCTCCTTTGTAAAGAGAGACAGTAAAAACTATAAATATATATAATTTATGTTTTAATTTTAACACACCAGATTATTATGCAAAATGCAATTAGTCAGGGTGATTCTTTATTAAGAATATTAAATCTATGCCTCTTTTACCTAGTAGCAAACAAGGAACATGCTTCTGCTCCCAGTGAAATCAATGGATTGTTCTCATAGGCCACGTCTAGATGAGCATGACTATGTGGTATATGAGCGGTGCATTTGGGGGTAGCTTGCACCACTTAAAACTGGAGTCTGGCTGGCTGAGGCCACACTCAAGCTGCTGGCCAGGCTCCAAGCATCAGAATCGCCACTGCTGCAGCCCCAGGAGGCCCCCAGGTAAGGCTGCTGTGGCCAGCGCAGTGTTAGCCCCAGGCTCCCTTACCCCATCTAGGGTAAACCTGCTGCACATCAGAGGGCGCATGGCCCAGGCATTCCCCGGGGACAACTAGCAGCAGCACAAGGTGTCCTGCTGCTAGTTGTCCCCAGGGAACCAAATGTCCATACTCGTGTGGACACAGCCATTGATTTCAACAAAAGAAGCAGTTCTAAAGACTTGTTTTATGATTCAATTCAGAAAATTCCTTAAGCAAGTTAAATGGAAGTCCAAGTGCTTAAGCATTTTACTAAACAGGCTAGACTTCAGCATGATGTTGAACTGCTATCATAGTCACCTGATAAGAATAGTCTAGTAACAGTGGCTGCTCATTCCTCTCAAAACAGTATTGTTCACACATTGTTCTTTACTTTTCAGACAACTGCTGCATGAAGTAGCTATTCTTAGTTATAATATCATCTTGGCTAGCCATTTTTTATTTCAGGATTCAAGTTTTTATCAGGTGCCTATTCACTTGCTATTTCTAGCATTTACTATATATGGATAAGATTAAAGGAAAAATGTTTTCCAGATATAGAAAGTAGGTATATCATAACTTTTTTGTCCAAACACTAATTTAGATGGCCCAAATAGAAAACGTGCCCACTGTCTAAACACTAGATCTTCTATTAAACAAAAGCCTGAATGTAGAGGTGTCTTTTATTGGGCTAGAAATGACATTTCAATGAAAATGAAGACTATGCAATGAGAGTGAAGTTGCTTTCAATGTCCACTCATTTGTTATTAAAGCAACTGAAAATGGCGAAGTGGTGCTAAGTGAGTTGTGACGGTAGGTGTAAATGTAGGTTACCCAATGGGACTCTTGCAGCACTTGCATCAGGATTGATCCAAAATGACAGCCAGGACAGAACAACAATTAGCAGTGTAGGAGCATAAACACCCATCATGTAAAATCCAACTTGTCTTCTTAAAGTGAAGATTACTTCTACACAAGTGTAATAACCTTTAAAGAAATAAATGCATTAATATTCTAAGTGTTTTACAGACTAACCTTTTCAGATTAGAAAACCTTAGAACCGGTCAGGTTTCTGTTCTCATGTCAATTTTACCACTGACTTCAATAATGCCCTTTAAAGTTTGAAATCAATTGATGTTATTCAAATGACAAAGTGTTCAATTAAAATCAAGTGATTGAAGCTTGCCTATAAAAGTTATAACACCTGAAGGAAAGAGAGAGCCACAACGCAAGATCAGTCTGTTGTATTTGCATTCTTACAGCACAGAAGAATCAAAGTGCACACTGCTAAGTCAATGTCTACATTTCCCTGTAGAAAGACATGGAAATCCAGAGTGCTATCTTGTTCTTGCCAGCAGTTATTCCTGCAGGGATATGGATTCAGAATTGTACATAGAGAGAGACCAGCTGAAAGAAGGAGAACTGAAAAATATACTACTGTATTCCAAAAGAAGCACAATGCATGAGCATTGGCTAGAAGTTACACTTCAAAGAGTCTCTAAGAGTTAGGTGCCCAATTCTCCTTGAATTTCAATGAAGTTTAAACACCATCTCCCTTAGACTTATCTACAAAATCACACCCATTAGCTATCTTGGGTAAAGGAAGGACTCAGGTATTAAAATAAAGGTTATATCTATAAAAGATTAGGAAGATTAGAAAAAGAGGAGACCTAACCATGGCCTAAATAAAAGTTCCACAATAATGAAAGTTCAGAGGGATACATTTTTATCTCAGTACAAAATTTAAAGAGACAATCCCCTAAACTTAAACTCTGACAGGTGCAGATATGGGCTTGGGCTTATTTAAATGTGGGACTAAAGAAATGCTTGTAGTGCTCACTTATGGTGCTAAGCAGTCCCAAACTGAGTCATGCTGTATTTGTTCTGCAGTTGCTTCCACTTAAATAAGTAGCATAGTCCCTCAGGCCAACCCTGCATGTGCGCCAATAAGCTCTGCTGACATATGAATGTACAAATCCCATTACAGAGCTTTCTGTCACCATCACAGGGAAAAAGATTTCCAAGATGCTTTTCAACAATATTAAATGAAGATGTTGTCTCACTACAGTTTATACCAGAAGTTAGGATATGGACAAACATACATTTGTCATAGCTTCAAAAGGGCAAAGAGAGCTGCTGCTCAGGACCACTCAGCAACCATTATGGTGGAAATGTTATGTATTCATAAATTGATCATACAAATACAAACAAACTGCCTCAACTTTGAGCCTGTATGAAGCACGGTTAACATTGGAGTGGTTTAGGTATATTTGCATCCGGCTCATACACAGTAACAGTAAGAACATAAGAGCTGCAGAACATCTTGGCTAGGTGCAGACATTAAAAAAGCCCGAGCTGGAATCAATCTAAGATATGTAAGCAGCATAGTTTAGATCAATAGCAAACAGAGCATACATTTGCTCTGTGGTGGGGGCAGGGAGGGTAGAATCTTAGACCATGTTCCGCCATTTTTAAACCAGTCTATATGGCTAAGGACAGACATTCAAAAAGCCTGAGCCTGAATTGATTCTATCATTGCAAGTTAGTCTAATCTGCAAAGCTTAAACCGATTTGGAGGTGGACAGACATCCCCTTTTCATTCCAGCAATGCAGGCACATGCCTGAAGTGGTTCAGGCTAGAAGCTGGGGGGCACTAGAGCAGCCTTCCCTTCCCTTCCACAGTACTGAGCTGAGGGGGAGCATGGCCAGGCCCAGCAGGATGCTCTGATTAGCCTACCAGAGAATTGCTAACAGTGTTTATCACTCCTAACTCAGCGTTTAAGAAAACAACAGAGGGATATTACCACCTACCTGTTGATTCTGCCTTTGTCACGACATGGACTGGAGCCAGCATGTGGTCTGCTAGTTAATACACAGATACCTCTCAACAAGTATACCTGCTTAGCAGGGAGTAGAAGGGGGTGGGGGGTGGGGAGCAGCCTGCAAGTCCCTGCCAGAACTCCATCCAGGGAGCAGAGGGGAGGGGCCAGCCCTGCTGTGGAGGAGAGACCCCGCCCAGCCCAGAGAGCATGCCGGGATGCTGGGGGTGTCTGCTTTAACTTAAACAAGCAAGGGGTCTGGGATAGACATTGCATACACTAGTCTAATCCAAATCAGTTAGGTCTGATACTACATTCAACCAGGTTTGGCTGAAACTGGTTTGAGATATTTTCAAACTGGTTTATGTGCACTGAACATCTGTTCTGTTACAGGTTTAAACCAGTTTCTGATCACTTACACCGGTTTATATGTAATGCCTGTCCCTAGCCTATGTAGCAAATCTCTGTTCTGTTACAGGTATAGACTGGTTTCTGCTCACTTATACCAGTAGAAGTGTAATGTCTGTACCTGGCTCTTAAGGAGGAGCTTTACTTTTTATTTTGAAGCTGCTGCATTATGAATTTGTCCATACCTGTAGTGTAACTTAAAATGTAGAGCTTCAGCAGCAAGAGATGAAACACAATCCATTTTTACCTTATGTTAATAAAGGTTATTTTATGTCTGGGTTTTCCCAGACATGACCTCTTTTTGGGTCCTTCCATTTCCATCTGGGCAGTTTATTTAAAGTATCAAGAAATGTCTAGGATTTTGCTCTGCCTCTGTTTTCCTAGCACTTCCCAGCTCACCCCAGCAAGGAGAAGCTTGGGGC